GGTAGAGGGGATGGTTTTTGCTATAGGGCTCGTATGCTCACCAGAAAGACAGAAAGAGACAGAGAGACAGAAAGTGAGAAATCACCCCCAAGGAGGGAGGGCCATGCCGCAATCCCCTCTCCTCCATTTTCCTCTTGGGATCTTGGGCACGCATGCACACACGCCTGGTGTGGGTTTAAGCCACCGGATACGGGAGTCGAATCACAGTCCACTACATGGGGGTCCAGTGACATAGCCATTACACCAACTGCTGGTCCTGACCACAATCATGATTAAAGAGAAACATTATTATTATTATTATTATTATTAAGTAAACAAAGCAAAAGGAAGTTAGAGCAGGCTCTCATTCTGGCTTTGCTTCTAATTGGTCTACAGAAGTTACTTTTTAAAAAAAAATTAAATTATTTATTATTACCTGTTGGTTTGATCAGAGAGAGAGAGAAAGCAAGCTGCCAGGTCCAGGATCCAAACCGTGGTCAACCACAAGGGAATTCAGAGTCTTACCTACTGCATCACCTGCTGGCTGCACACCCCCTTCCCTTTTTTTTTTTTTGGAGAGGTTTTTGCCATAGGCCTCGTGTGCGCGCTAGGAAGACAGAAGCAAGAAATCACCCCCAGGGGGGATGGCCATACCACAATCTCTTCTCCATTCTCTTCTCGGGATCTTGGGCACGCATGCACACACACCCAGCATGAGTTTAAGCCACCGGGTCCGGGACTCGAACCAAGGTTGACTAGGTGGGAGTCCAGTGACACAGCCATTATGCTAACCTCCCCCCACTTTTTTGAGAGTTTTTTGCCTTGTGTTTTTTGAGAGGTTTTTGATGAGAGCACATGTGCTCATCAAGAGAGAGAGACAGACAATGAGAAATCAGCCCCCTCCCCCCCAGGGGATGGCTACACTACAATCCCTTCTCCTCCATTCTCTTGGGATTTGGGGCATGCATGTATATGCACTCCTCATGAGTTTTAAGCCACTGGGTCCAGGACTCAAACTGTCATCGACCATATGGGAATTCAGTGCCTTAACCACTATGCCACTTGATAGCTCTTTTTTTTTTTCCCCCCAAGGCTTTTGCCATAGTGTGTATGCACTCATCGGAGAGAGGCAGTGAGAGGGAAAGTGAGAAATTACCCCCTGGGGGGATGGCTACAGTGCAATCCTTTCTCTTCCATTCTCCATCCTCTTCCTGAGATTTTGGGCATGCACACATGCCCAGTATGATTTTCAAGTAGTTGATCCAAGACTTGAACCATGGTTGACCATGTGGGAGTCCAACACCATAACCTCTACGCTACCTACTGGCCCTTCAAGAAGGTTACTTAACTTCAGAACCTTAGTTTCTTCAATTCTACCTTGGTGATCAAATCTCCGCTTCAGCGCTCTTTTGCAAAGTGTTAAATGGTATGTAAATGTAGGTAACATTGTTAGATTAATAATTGTTATTTTTAGGTTGCATTTCTTTTCTTTTCTTTTCTTTTCTTTTTTAAGAGAAGTTTTTTGTACAGGGTGCATACACTTGCCAGAAAGACAGAGAGAGACAGAAAGCGAGGCATGAGTTTAAGCCACTGGGTCCAGGACCTGAACCACGGTCGACTGCATGGAAGTCCAGCAACATAGCCATTATGCCAACTGCGGGTCCCATGGTTGCATTTCTAAATATAAAAGATTAAGTATATGGTATAGTGGGGCTTAGATTTGGGAAGAATACATGGAAATGAGGTCAGGAAGACTAAGGAATGGAAAAATAAACACACTGGTAATTATAAAAGGATAAAAAAGTACAAAGTTGCTATCTTGAAAGGTTGATACAGATTTTATTTTTTCTAATTATATCATGTGTTGTAAATCCTGATGTAGTAGACAGTTGTAGGTTTTTCTGCCTTGAATCTTGCCCCTTTCTGGCAATGGGATCCCTACCTTTGAGCTGCACTTCCCACTCCATGGTTTTCTGGTGGGCTGCTAATCTGTTACTTTATTCACCTGGATAGGGTCGGGGATTTGCAGGTGACCAAACCTGGACCCATCATCATCCTTGAAATTACTTATATAGATCCTGATAGGGAGAAGTCTGTTTTCTTTGGAGTTTTAAATGAGATTTAAACAATTCTAGCACACTCTCATCTGGACAATAAAAAATACCTCGTCTCATCTCATTCTGCCTTTCTTGCTATATAGAGGCATTGAAGATTGGGCACTAAGAGGATCTTTTGAGGATACGAATCCCATTTTTCCCATTCCTTCACATTTTTCTTCTTGAGGTGTTGTTTTTGTTTCTTTTTTCTTTTTTTTTTTTCTTTCCCCATATGGCATATGTGCTCACTGGAGAGAGACAGAAACAGTGAGAAGCAAAGTGAGAAATCACCCCCGATGGGGGATGGCCATGCCACAATCCCTTCTCCATTCTCCTCCTGTGATTTTGGGTAAGCCCCACATGTGTACTGTATGATTTTTTTAAAAGAATTATTTTATTTAACTTTATTTATTTATTTAAATTTGACCAGAGGGACAGAGTGAGAGAGAGAGGGAAAGGAGAAAAGGAAGTCATCAGGTCCAGGACTTGAACCACAGTTGACCATGTGGAAGTCCAGCGCCCTTAACCACCATGTTACCTGATTATTTTGTTTGTTTGTTTGTTATAGGGCGTCTGCGATCATCAATCGGCAGAGAGACAGAAAGAGCTACTCCCCCAGCCCCCACCTCACTCGTGCCCAAGATCCCGAGATGAGAATGGAGGAGAAGGGATTGAGGCATGGCCAACCCCCCTGGGGGGGGGTCATTTCTTGCTTTCTATCTCTCTTTTTGCCGAGCGCATGCTCCCTATAGCATAAACCTCTAAAAAAATAGATATTTTCTTGTCACAGTAACACAGTCCTGTGAGCAAGAGAATTTAGAGTATGTAACTAGAGGCTCTTCACGTGCTTTTAAAATATTAGATGAAGTTCAGGTAATAAAATTAAGGGGCAAATAAGTAGCTTGAAGTTAACTTTGGTCATTACAACGGCAAAGGGAACCGTAATTAGGAAAGATGGTTATGTGCATTTTGTAATCTTCTGTGTCTCTTATCTCCTACTTTATTTGACTGTTGGAAAATCAGTTTGCCAATGTCTAATAAAATACTGAAATTCTAAAATAAGGAAAATGCATTAACATATTTATAAATATATTTAAAAATCTGTAGCTTTGTTTACAACCAACATCTTAATCTTTGTCCTATAGGGCTGGATCCCACATGGCCAACTGTGGGTTCAAGTCCCAGTCCTAGAGATTTGGAAACCATTCTGGGCATGCGTGCCTCCGTGTTCAAAATCAGGAGAGGAGAATGGAGGAGAAAGATTGCATTGTGGATATCCCTGGGGTGTGATTTCTCAACTTTCTGTCTGAGGAGCAAACACTCCCTATAGCAAAACTAATGAATAAATAAATAAGGTCCATTGCGACAAGCCCCTAGAGTCCTCGCCCCTTCCCACCCTTCATCAAGCCAGACCACTATCACTAGGGTCCTCCTAACTGCGAGTTCTGGGGCGAACATTGGCCCTATTTCATTGATTCAGATCCCCACTATCCCTATCTTAACAGGACGGTGTCCAAAACCGTGTATTGTGTGCTGTGTGTGTGTCTGTACGTATTATTCTCACTTTATCACTAAGGTCCCGAAAAGCTGGGAAACAAAAACAAAACCCCAACCCAAACCAGCTCCCTTATGCGTCCCCGGCTTGCAGGATCCGCCGGTTCGCGCGGCGGCCTCGCTGGCCCAATCAGGCCGGGGAGGTGCCCAGGTTCTGATCTGGGACTGAAACTCATGATCTTCTGGCTCCGGTTCTGTGAACTGAGTCATCCTGGCACTGAGAATATTCCGTGACTCAGCAGGCCCGAAAAGGAGGATGTCAGAATCCAGATAATTTCGTCTTTTAAAGGCAAGCCGGGAACACAAACAACTCAGTGGAAGGGCTGCGCAGCGGGTCTGCGTGCCCAGGGGAAAATGTCATTCCATTCCCAGCCTGTCCGCTTCCTTCCTCGCTCCGGTGAGACGAGTGGTTACACTTTAATTGAGCGGCAGGAAATCGCTTCACCAAATTCATTTTGATGCTGCCACCAGGCCCTTTATTCTCCAGGGACCCTGTCACCCCCACCCTGGACCTCCCCGGGCAGGGGTTGGAGCAGAGCCCGCGCAGCGGGGGGCGTTCTCCCGGCGGGGCCCCGCAGGCAGTCCCCACCGTCCGGTCCCTCCGGTCCCGGCCCCGGGGCGGGGTCCGGGCTGGACGCGAGGACCGACACCTGGCTGGGCGGGGACCCTCCTGGCGCGGCCCAAGCTGGCGCCAGGCCCAAAGGCCAAACCTCGGCGACCTCGCTGACCCAGTGTCGCCCCTTTAAGGTCCTCTCCTGGACTCCATCCCCCAATCCGGATTCTTCCTGGGACGCGGGGCTCGAAGACCCCGGTGTCCTACCGGCGCAGGGTGCCGGGTCCCCGCGGCCTCCC